TGTTATCTATTGTTATATTTCATACTAATTGATCCTTTGATACAAAAAACTGATTGCAAGATGACAAACTATATACATATATATATATACTTATATGTGAAGATTATGTTGATATTTTTTTTCTCTTAGCTTACTTAAATGCTACTTACATTAACTGTTATAGAAAATGGAGATGGAACTACAATTATGAAAACTTGTTTTTTTTCCTGTAAATGAAAAAAAATTGATAACACATTTCCATGAGGTAGTGTATACACCAAATGGAAAAAAAAAAAAAGTCTTGAACATGAGATTTAAAACAAATTTTATTGTTATGATTCTATTACTAATTTGTAATAATTGAAATTTGATGTTCACAAAATGAAATGTAGACAAAGTTATCACATGTTCATAGTTTTATATTATTTGTATCTATGTTGGACACACATGATTGGTTCACTTTATATTTATATATATATATATATATGTCTTTTTTTTTTTTTTTTTTGCAACATAATTACATGCAGTGCATGTGTTTTTCTACTGAGCCCGTCATCAAAATACTTCTTTACACTCATCACCTGGATTGGTGGTTAATGTCTATGCAAACCAATACTTAACAGTCTTCCAGGAAAACCATTTCAGATACCTGTATTTAAAGCAATAAGGAAAATCATTTTCTTTTTTTGTAAATGATTGTTGGTGCTTTTTTTAAAGGCAGGTACTTTGTTTCATTAAGGCTTGACACTAAGTCTTCAGACATATACAAATATATATTAATGATTCATTAAGTGTTCATACAATTTTTCAGAACTGAGCTGTCCAACTATAGTGTACAGTGTATGACTAATGTTAAAAATTTAAATTACTGATATCATTTTTCTGATAAAAAGACAAATACTATTTTTCATTTTGAAAATGGAGCAATATTTTTGCTAATGAAAGATATATATATATAATATATATATATATATATGTTTTATTTTTATCTGGTTCATAAAGTTTGAAAAATCTTGATTATATTTAGTATCAATTTTTCTCTCCCCCCATACCATTCATTGTCCACACTTTATTCTGTTTCTTTTCAACCAACTGGTCAGAAATTTTTTATTTCACTGTGACATATCCTTGTCTCATTATGCTGATGTTCTATCAAAACCTTTCTGCAGTGCAGAGCACTTTCATCCTATCACTTAGAAGGTGGAAAAAATAGTCATACATTTTGTTCATCTGACCTTTGGCTTTTATTAGGAAACTATTGAAATAAAAAATCTATGCATAGTGACTAGCAAACCATGCAGCTCTTCAAAATTGATTTTGTTGTTTTTCTTCTAGCTTGTAAACGATTGTCAGTTTAACATTAAAAAAAACACCTTCAATCCTCCTTCAGATTTGACTTTTAAAAAAAAGCCACGGTCTGCAGGCTTTTTCAGTTCACGGACCAAAGGTTTGGAACTCACTCCCCATTATCTCAGACAGACAACATGCTACACCACTTTTAATAAGAACATTAAGACCTATCTGTTTAAAACTTTTTTAGATTAACTGTCTTTTTAGCTGTCGTGTCTGTGTTTGTAATGTTATTACAGCGCCTTGAGCCTACATTTTGTTTGTTAACAGCGCTTTATTAATAAAATTATTAAAATTGTTATTACTATTTCGTATTTCGATAACTTGTATGTAGGTTAAAATTGTTAATCAAATTATTTTTGGCAAAAGTATGGCCTGTTTGTGTATGCATTTTATTCAACTGCAGGCTTTTTTTTTTATCCTGAAGTTGAAAAGGGGAAGATTTGAACCTCTCTGGCCCACACTCAAATGGAATTTGATATTATTATTGTGTATCTTTCTCCCCTCCCCAAAATATTAGTATTGTTAGTCAAAGGTTTTATGGTCACAGGTAAAAGAAAGTAACATTTTTCTCTTAATAATTGTTATTAAAATAGGCTTGTCTTTATGTCCAAGATTAATGGGGAGTGCAGTGTTTAACATATGCTACAAACAGCATGTACAAGACCATTGCCTGCTGGTGACCAATTAATTTCTCTTTTACTTGCCTATGTGTGTTTTTGGCAATAGCTTTACTTTTGTTGTCAAGTATGTATTCTGTAGCCTGCATAAGAGATCTCCAGCTGTCTCTTTTAGAAGTCATTTCTTCTTTGTCAATTTGGACAATCTGATTTGTGATCTGGTCTTCAATGCACCTCTTCCTTATAGGTTAATAGTTTCAAGTGAAGATTTTTTTAATGGGTGTAAATCAGTGTTTCTCAACTTGTGACAACCCCCAGACAAAACAAAAGTATGTAAGGGCTCCTGTTAGCCAGCTAGTTGTTGTTGAGGATTGCTTTAAGCCTATAGAGTTCATTCTGAGTAGCAGAAATGCATTCTCCTGACGCCTACATACACATTTCATCACAGTATTAAGAACGCAAGGTAAAATTTCATATAAGGAGTGATGGGCTGATTTTTTGGTGTGAAGGTCATTTGAGGAACATTGTAGTGCATTATGTTTATAATGGGTTGCAATTAGGCAATACATCTTGTAGAGGGTTTGTTTTTATCCCCATAATATGTTAGTGGAACAATGCTTTGGCACTCAGGAGAAATTTTACCATTCTGGTGCGAAGAAGGCAGATTCACATTTCACATTGGAACAGACTTAGAGAATTTTTTTTTTGATAAAGAACATTTTAGTCATTCTTGATACAGAAGCCAATAGCAAAAAAGAAAAACATAATAATATTGTAATTGTATCTTATAGGCATCTGGATGAATGTGTTACAGTGATCACATTTTAAATGCATAAAGAAAAACTTGTTCAGGGCTGTAGCCTCATCAAGGGGAAAAATTCATCTTATACCAACACATCTACATCTGTCAAGTATTATTTCTATTTTTATATACCAACCATAATTAATTACCAGTAGTTAATTAACTAATTGGATTTTTTAAAAATTGATTCTTGTTTTGACTGTACAAAAAATCATTGTGCAAAATTTCAACTTGATCCTAGATTGGTAATGTGTACAAACTTTTGACCAGACAGAGTGAGTTGATGTAAGCTTTGTAAAAATGATACAAAAGGTCTTACCAGGTACTTAGAAGAGGAAAAGGCACCTGTTAATTTAATAGATCTACTTTTGAAACTATTGGTTACATTTTTTGTTACTAGATCACTATTCTAACATTGTGATTTAACTACAATGTTTATATATCATTTTTTGTATTACTTGAAACTAAAATAATGACCACTTTGTAAGTACAAGATGGTCCCACTCCACAGATTTAGAAGCTTTATAGTCCATAGGGTAGAGTTGAAACTTTTTTGTCTCCTCAATGAATGTTCACACAAATCAATTTGCCAATGCCAAATAGTTGTAAGATTTGAACAATTTGTAATGCCACATACTAATTTTATTGGAGGCCCTTTTGAAAGTATTGAGGGGGTAGTCTATATGTTTAATGTATAACTTGTCATTATTTGTTTTTTTGTGAGCCAATTTTACAATTGATTGCATACTTACTTATACTCAATATTTTTTTTTACATGCAATCCTTCAATATTTGTATGTTGCAATGCTACAGTGCTTCCATTGTATTTTCATTGATAGATTTAGAGAATCACTTCACAGCCTCACTATACAATAAAACAGCCCTTGTATATTGTTTGCATTGTTGTTTTTTCTGTAATTGTGAGTAAATAGAGTTCTCAATATTATGCACTCAATATTATGCAAGAGAAAAAAAAAAGTCCAAAGTAGCATTTTATTATAATTTTTTTTTTTTCAATCTTCAATTCCCAAAAGGTCTCTAGACATGTGGAGCTGTTTTTCAATAAGTTCCATAAAGCATTAGATAAAGTGCTGGAAGTAGATTTATCTTCACATCAAAGAATGATTATAATTTTAAAAAAGATTTTTCTTGTGGCACTACCTCAATCGCTCATGCAATATCAGTAATGTACAACGGGTTGATCAGAATATATCATAGCTTACTGGAATTGAGCTAAATTGTGAAATTTGAAGCCATGTGACAGTTATTTGTGACTTCTATACTCATAATAACTTAAAATAAATGAAAAAAACAAACAAACAATGAAATAGATATGACCAAAAAAAAATTTATTTCAAAAATGATCCTGAATCCCTTCCCCTGAATGACAAAAATATGAACCAAACAGCCATGTGCGGGGGAAAAAAAATTGAGTTGCAATTAATATAAAAAGCATAATTGTTAATAAGCTGAAATTCTACAGTGGAAGAGAGACATGATTCTCTGTACATTACTGACAAAAAAAGAATGGGAAAGGGACATGTTGATAAGATTGGTGACAAAAATAATCTGATGTTGAACACACACAAATCTGGTCTTAGGTTGAAGTGACAAAAAGTCTGATTAGCCATCAAAGTAATATTGTTCTCAACAATCTTTTTTTTTTTCTTTTTTTAAAATTATTATCCTTTTTTTTTTTTTAATTTAATTAAAACAAAAATAGCAACTCTAAAACAAAAAAAAAAAAAGTCTATAAACAGCATGCACAAGCACACTTCAGGTTTGGTCCAAGAGAGAGTCTCTGGTTGACCAACACAGTACACATGTTCATATGATAGCTGCTGTGATGTTAGGCCTAAAGAGTAGTTCACTAAGAAAGAGAGCACACCAGTTGAAGCTATTCACACATTAAATGTTTATGTCTGAAAAGAATTGTTTGTATGAATCCAAACCCATGGGTAACAAATATGAACATCTATGTACATTATGCAATCAGAAAGGAATGTCTGTACAAATTAAGAACTAGATACAATCTACTTGCTCTTGAAACAATGAAGAACAAAACATTGGCATACAAATATAAAAAAAAACAAGGGAAACAAATATGTCAAAGTAATTGACAAATAAGGTGGTTAAAATATTTATAGATAGCACAAATTCAAAGTGACCTAAAAGATTTGTGTTCACAAAAAAGAAAAGAGGGGCCTTCAGAATGGTCAGCAAAGCTTAAAATCATTGTTAAAAAAATAGGGGGGGGGGGGGGGGCACTCCTTTTGTATAAGAACTTTTCAAAGTGTTTATTTTCTAAATCCCAAGAGTCCGGGTTAGAGGCCAATGTTTTGGTACGATGTGAATGCCCAAGCACTTCACCAAATACCTTCTTCTGGGAACAACTCTGAAGGCTCAGAAAAAGCCTAAACAATGAATCCATTCAGCTGTTTCAGCACTAGCTCCATGGAGAAAAAAAAGTGAGCAATATTTTAAAAAAATAATAATTTATGACTTGAATTCATGTTTTACTTAGTGCAATCAACATGGTACCAAGACTACTGCCAATTTAAACTACGTAGACTTGACTTTCATTTTCCTATTCAGCGCTCATTGACATCCATGCATGCCCAGGCTTGACTACAAGGATTTAAACTACAACTATCAAAAACAATCCTTCCACTATTAAGATTGCAATGACAATCACGCACTTATCCGAAATTGTTTTAATTCTGTATTCAAGAAATATGTAGTAAAGAAAAAAGAATAACCATAATTTGTTGTTTTGTTTAGTAATATAGATTTTAAAATAGGCCAGGAAAAAAAAAGATTTTTTGAGAAACAAAAGAAGCATTTTGTTTAGACTAAATAGTGTGAATAAAGTGAATTAGACCTGTTTGGAGAGCGAACCTGGTTATCAGTGTAAGACATATCTTAACATAAATTAAATATATATATATATATATATATATATATATATATATATATATATATATATATATATATATATATATATATATATATATATATATATGAGAACACAAATTGGAGGCCAAAAAATTAAAACCTTGAACATCATTTACATTTTAGACTTTTAGGAAAACAAATGGGGGATAAAATTATGTTTGAAAGAAAAACAATGAATTTAATTACATCAATTCTTCTCCTACCAGTATGAAAAATGTTTTAACAAAGAAAACCTGTTCAACAAGCAAATGTAACAGTGAATTAAAGAGAAAGTTGAACTAACAAGAATACAGAACAGAACATCATGTTGTATAATATCTGATGCAAAGAAGAATGAAACAAGCCGAATCACAACACCACCATGTCCTGTAATCTGTGGTCTTTATGAATTCACTACAGTCAAATGATCTCTTCCAATAATATTTACAGTGCTCTATGTACAGTAAAACATTTGGATATCAACACGATCATAGAATAATGCCATGATAAAATTAGTTTTAAACGAATTAAAAGCCTTAGTCATTTACCATCCATTATAAAATTATGGGAACATTTTTTTTTGATTATTTCATAATAAGTGAGCTTGCACTTAAGAAAAAAAACAGTGCTGGCTAAAGATCTAATGAGCCTAAAATCAGTATCATTCAAATGGTCCATCCAAATACAATTTCTAGAACTCTAGACAAGACAGATCTACTAATCATGGACATTATGCTAAGCATTGTTATTAGAAATATATACATATAAATGTCTTCAAACACTGAATGGTTAAAAGTTTAGAGCAAAGTACAATACAGAGAACCAAAGATAAGGCCAGTTGAAAATACTAGTTACAGTTAACAATGTACTGGAGTCATGACTGCCACCAACCATACACAAACTTCCTTGAATTGTAAGAAAGACTTCAGTAAATAAACAAATGACCTTTTAGATGAAACTACTTCAGCCAAAGAGGAGGATTCAATTCTAAGTTGAATAATTGTTTTTTCTAATAGTCAGGATGGTAATTTTTAGCTGAATTATATCCAAGTCAAATTATGCATCAATTGTTTTTAATTAGCATTTTTCTTTTCTCACAGCAGTTGAGATGAAAAGTAATGTGTGTATTTGAAAATTCTACACGGCAGTTGAGGTCATAAGAAATATGTGTTTTAAAATTCAATTACATCAGTAAAGTCATAAACAAAAAAGAAAAATATTTAACACAATCTTATACTGAAAGCTGTATAAATCAAGATGTATCATTAATAAAACATCTGTGCAAACACTCTTGCAAATGCTGACATACAAACAATATTTTACAGGCAAAACTTAAGAGAACAGGCTGCTCTATTACAGAGGTGTGAGTTTGCAAGTTGGGCAACAACAACACATTGGCATCTATTAGAGCTGATGTCAAAATACAAGATTAATGCATACAATAAGTTGAATATTGATCCAAAGAAACAGCCAATTACCACTAAAATTGGATAATCTAAAAAAAAAAAATGTATAATAAAAATTGCCATATGATGAATACATCTTTACATACAATTCAACACAAACACACACCATCAAACTTAGTTCTATTATGATTTGTTTCTTAGATGGAGAAAACTTCACCGTAAATGTTGTTCACAAAAAAGTTGTTAGTACAAAATACTAGTCTTTAGTTTCTTTTAACTAGATTATTTCCACAATCCTTGTTTTCTTTTATATTTAAAGTCAAAATAGGAAGAAACCTGAAAACAAATATTCTATTATAACCAAAGCCAACACAAATATACTCTAGATCCACAATAGTAAACAACAATCACTATAAGTACTCCCGTTTTTGAAACACAGGCTAAATAATAATAATTTAGAACAAAGTATTTGGCATATTGAACTTGTAACATTCATACATCAAAATCTCTGCTAATGTATGAAAGAACATCATTTCAACACCTAAGTTTTGGTCTATTTAACAGAATGTCTGTACTCAAGAAAAAGAATAACAAAATAAAATTTAAATACAGAAAATTCCAAATCAAAACTACAAAGCAAAATGTGATTATCTCCACAAATTTAGTATAAATAATGCATCATTAAAGTTTGTTTTACAATTGTTTCACTGACAGAAACTACAAGACAGCCATTCAATAGGTAGTCTGTCTTGGCTATGCTTTTCATACATAAACACATTTGCATAATACTTAAAATGATTAAAAATCATCATCAACAGTTTAAAATGTCTAATTGATACAGAAGAAAATAACATTTCTGTGAGAAAAACATTGTGAAGCGAATCCAAATTAAATCAATTCTTCACTGTTTGTCCACTGACCAATTCACAGAACCCTGATTGATAGCTTGCTGAACCATTAGGTCAAAAAAAAAAATATTGAGTGTTCTAATGCTTGACTAGCTTTTGGAAGTACTGCTAATGCTGCCTTTGTTGCTTATAGAGATATCAGCCGCTGCTGCAGGGGAGAGGGTAGTCTGAGATGGTTTCAGTGGAGCTATGTTGCTGTTGTTCTCTGTGATACCAAAAGCCTGTTCATTTTCCTGAAAATATAATTATTATGTATTTGTTATGTTAAAATTAAAAGATTTTTTAAATGTTTTATATTTATCCAATAGTAAACTACTATTGAAAACATTCAATAAATTGAATTTTTGGCATTTTAAGAAGAAATTAAATTTACAAGAAAACCAGTGAAGCCTCAAAGACAAGATTGCCAAGATGACAATATGTTTACAATGAATGATAGTTGGGTTAAAGGCTAAGTGAGGTGATCTTACCACAACTCTACAAAGAGTGATGGATGGGTTAACGGTTTAGAACTTACCACAACTCTGAAGTCTGAAAGTTTATTATAGCGAGACAGTTGGGCCTGTAATTCTGGATTCACCTCTACACTGCGACGTGAGTACTTTAAGAATGCCCAAAACTTTTCAAGACCATACAACTGACCTAAAAAAAAAACAAAAAAAAAAAACTATATTGATAGTATTTCATGCAAAACTAAACCCTGAACCTGCAGCTCTAAAATTATTTAAATTAACTTGCTTTACAAGAACTTCCTATAGTGCTATGACATTTGATCAGCGTTGACATCAAAGAATAAAATGTCTTTCACATTCAAGAATTGTTTAAAATTCTTTAACATTTTGAATACCAGTACTGTTAGAATATAAATAATCACATCACAAGAGTGTTACAATTAAAGGCTTAAAGCATAAATAGAATAATAGCTTTCTAATATATATTTTACAAAACATTCACAGATACATACGACACATTATTTTAAAGTAAAAAAAAAAATTATAATTAAAATAAATGATAATAAGATAAATGAATGTCTAATATATACCTAACAGTTATTTGTGTGTAGTCTGTATTATTGGTGGAGGCAGATATTTCAAGATGGGGACAGAGCTGAGAGGGACAAGTGGCCATTGATATCTGGGTAGCTAATGCATGCTTGCAAGCACTACTGATAAAGATTTTTGGGGGAAGATCTGGATGGTCTAGTGGTTAGTTTGCTTGGCAGATCAATGAAGCAGGGAAAGTGAGTGAAGTAGAATGCAATCATATTTTCTTCATAGGCTGTCAATGTACAAGCTTACCATTCTTATAATCTTTCATTGTTTCTTCCATGAAATCCTGGAATAGTTCTTGTCTAAATCTCCTTTCAAGACCGTAACTGTAAAACCTGAACAGACATTCTAATCCATATCTGAAATAAAAACAATTCATGCTAAAAAGTTTCCAAAAACAAATTCATTCAAACAACGAGAAGACAAGAAGACTTAATGAATATAGTTGTGCTCAAATGTTATCTCTTCTTTACCTATGACCTTTGGAAGCATCTTCAACAGACAAACTTCGAAATTCATGATACATTTTTCTGTTGAAATGTTGTCGTAGGAAGAAGGACCAGAAACGATATAAGCAGTTCATTTCTTGGGACTGTCCTATCCCCAGACGTTTTCTTTCTGTGTTCAAAATAAGTAGAATTATAAGTAAGTGATTTTTTTTTTTACTCATCTTAATTGAAAGGGTTTAGATCTGTCAACAAAAAGCAATATAATAGTAAAAGTTTTATAGAAGAACATGGTAAGTTCCAAAATTTTAAATGAACAGCATAAGGGTCCTCTGATACTAAGAAATACAGATCAAAATTTTTTGACCTTATTTGAACAAGAATTACCTTAAATATGGTCTGTACTAACCTTTAAGGCACTTTGAATGAAATTTATTATAAACATGCCACACAAATCCATTTTCCTTCAATAACTCATGTGAGGGATGTTCAAAGTTGGGCATTGAAACTGGTGTACATCCATAGCTTGAGGCCAGCTGACTGTCTGAAGGGCTGCGGGAGTAATAAACTCTTTAGAGCAAATTTGTTAACAGCTCCTTAACTTAAACCACTTATCTAAGATCACTTAAAGCAATCTGCTTTATACTAGTATTGTGTCTCACCTTGCAGATCTCATGGAAGATGAATTATGTCTGGATCTGGCTTTGTGCTCTTTCCTATCCATAACCCAACCAACGTGTGATTCAATTGGTGGGTTGCTACTGTGGCGTGTCTTTTTCTTACGGGGCGTCTACAGAAATATTCGTTTTATAACTTTATATTTTAAAAAGTTGACATTACAAGGTATTAATTAATGTAAAGCTAACCTTATAATATATAACTTCATGTGACAGCCTACATTTTTACTCAAGTCACACTTCAGAGGAAGTGCTGTTTAAACCTGGATTAATTTAATGATGTATAATTTTCTAAAAAAAAATAAAAAATATATCTATTAAATTTGAAAACAAATACAACACCTATAAGCAAAAAAAAAAAAAAAAAAAAAAATTACCTGTGGATCTTGTGGAGCTCCTGAATCTTTGATGACTGGATAAAATCTTGGTTCTTTTCTATCATGTCTAGGAGTACGAGGGCCTTGTTCTCTTCTCCCTGGCGTCACAGGAACCCAGGCTGGCAAAGATCTAGCAATGTCTCCATGATTGGACT